AAAAGAGCTTGCAGCACAACTAAACCACTTCTGTTACATATTTCCATGTTGCAGTTGCAGTTGCCGTTGTTGCTGCTGTTGCTGCTGCTGCTGCTGCCTAATACAATTAGTCTTGTGTAATACGCATGGCTTTTGCTTTTGCTTTTGCTAGCTGCCCAGCTCTGGAGGAGTGCCAAACCCGTTAAGTGTTGCGAGTGTGGCGGTATACAGTTAGAGTTGGTCTCTGGCCAGGTTCATGCTACGCAATTCGCGACACACTCACACACACACACACAGGCAGACATCGCGTACTCGCATGCACCGCAATTGAAATGCCTTGGGAGCGCGAATTGATTGTGCGGCTGGCCAGCGCTGTGCAGAGTTTAAAGCCTTTTAGGCCTTCATTTTGGCCGCGTCGCTCCGCCTGCCATGCAGTATGTCAGATTTTGTGTTTTGGCCCGTTGCCAAAATGGTGAGGCTAACGGTAAAAGTCTGGCCAAATCGAAAATAACAACATTTTATTCGTGTTTTTATTATTTTTTGTTGGATTTTTGTATTGCCATAACTGCTGCTGCTGCTCCTTGGTGCTGGTTAATTAAAGCCAACGCGAGAGTGAGTTGTCCTTGTCCAACAATGTACTCCAACTAACAGCAGTACCCATATGGACGCAGCTCCAGCTGCAGCTTCACAGACCGATATACATCCAATCGGATTGTAATTCAATAAAATGCCGGCACAAAGATGGCGTGCACTTGATGACAAATGCCTGGGCACAGCAGGGCAGGGCAGAGGAGTTATTCCAGGGGCCAGGGGCCAGGGGCCAGTCAGGGGCAGGCTTGGGCAGACAGCGGCCCTTAAAGCGAGCCGACGCCTTTCGATTTGCTCGTTTTCTTATCGCTGCCTTTTAATCTGCCAAATGCCGCACAGACTTCACTGCGAGTACAGGCTCTGCACAGCTTATTTTTTTTCCAGCTAACTCACAGCGGGCACTTAAAGCGGACAGCGGCAAGAGGGGCGATTGCAACGCATTGTTTTGCTAAGCCCATCGGCGACCTTAACCCATTGACATGCTGTTGGTCAAGCGACATAAGGATTAATTTGATTGACAGCTAAAGGCTATGCAACATAAGTGGCATAAGTGAGTTGTAAATGCTTTCAGACTACTAACATAAACAAAAAAGCTTGCCATTTACTCAGACTTTAAAATGACAAAGCTATTAACGTTGATCCTTTTATAAAAACATATTTTTAAAATAAATTGCTATCACTTTCTAACAGTTTTTTAAGACAATACCAATCACAACTTTTTAACATCACAGTATGCTGTCATCCCATAAGCTGTTAATGTACTAGGCATAGCTTAGAATAGCAGAGTTCTGTTAACTCACAGCCTGCTTGTTTTGCAACAGAAGCTTCACAGCTTGAGACCTTTGCGAATTAAGAATCATGTTAACCTACAGTCTGCTTTTATTTTAACAGCAGCTTAACTTTCGGAGATAACAGAGCCATAAACTCTCATAACATAACAGTTCGATAGCTCAGTGTAGCTTAATAAATGTTAATTAACTTTGAAAACAATAATATTAAAAACAAGCGTAGTAGAACATGTTTTTTTAAAAACAGGTATAATACAATGGAATAATGGAACTGCTTGTAGATTATCTCGCTTTGGGATTCTATCACAAAAATTAACCCAAAAAAAAATTTCATTTAAAATCGTCTTAAACTCTCAAAAGAATTGTTTAAGCTGTGGGTCATGAGCAGATCAATGGTAATGGCAACAATGGGTTAAAAGTTCAGAGGGGAGGTTGGACAACATGAGGCCAGCCAGCACAGACACGAGTTTGCGGACTGCAGTTGCCCCAATCGCAGCTCGATTTTATTAGCTTAGCAAAAGGCTTTGATTGTTGTTCTTGCAGTTGTTGTTGTTGTTGTTGCTGTTCCGGCTGCTGCGCTTGTCTAGACGGGCAATTTTTCACACACACAGAGGCACACACACTCACACACATATGAGCTGGACTTGCTCTAAAATTGGCATTTTTCACACACATAAGGCAAAAATGTAAAGCGCAGTCGCGAGTCCAAGACGCGCAGCCGGAGTCAGCGTCAGAGGCACAGACAGGGGCAGAGTCAAGCGGTTTATTTGCCTTGTGTGGCATCAGCTTCATCATCATCCTGCCCGTGCCTGTCTGTGGCATTGGTTCAGCTAGTGGCTCTGCCTGTGCCTGTGCCTGAAACTGGCCTGGACTTGGCCATCGTATAGTATATTGTTGGACTGGCCAGCCCGTTGGCATAATGTGGTCGGGAGAGCGACCGTACAACGTTTGGCGCGCAATTTCTTTATTATTACGAGCATTTCGTTTGTTGTCCTTTTAGGCAGTGCCTGCAACTCTGTGGCAAGCTCTGTGGCGACTGTCGCTTGTCAAAGCGTACTGATCATTATTGTTCTTGTTGTTGTTGTTGTTGTTGTTGTTGTTGTTGCTCTTTTGTGGCTAGTTTATGTTGTGCCTGCTGCTCCCCCTCACACAATGCGATTGTCAATGTTTTGTCTTAATGCCAGCTCTCCAGCCGCATAATGCTGTTGTTGTTGCTTGTGTCGCATGTTATTTAAATGGACGCTGCTTGACTGCGAAGATTTACAACTGGGCAGCACATCGATATATTATGCCATGGCAAGTTCGTTGTCTAAGTCATTCGTTTGTTGTTGATTCGTTCTGGCCATAAATTAAATGATGCACAGCCACTCAAAGCGAGAGAACGTTGCCAGGCAGACAAAGAGAGCGAGCGTCGCAGGGAATAAAGCAGCCCAACGCAAGGTCGACGTCGCGTGTGCTGCTTAGCCGGCAATTAAACGAGTTAATCACAGTTCGATGATTTGTCAGTTTCCTTTTTGGCCCTGGCAGTTAGTTCTCTCAGGCCGAAGTCTTTGCGCGCTCAGCTGTGACGCTTATAAGCAAAAAGCTGCAAGTCAATGAGATCATCAATTGACGCTTTTGAGCATTTTGTCAAGCAGCGAAACATACAAAGATAAAATAATTTGTTTAAGTATAACAAATGTCAGTCTTAAGATCTCATAGCTTAAAACAATGCTTGCCCAAGTTTCATTTGGCTTTTGTTAACTTTTACTTTTCCTAATGCAGATGCCACAAAATAAGTTTCGCTTAGGCGTTGGTTTCTTTTCTTTTTTTTTTTGGTTTCTTTCTTTCTTTGAGGCACGCCCCACGCTGCCAGCCCAGTAATTTAGCTTTCAGCTTTTGCTGCTGTTGCTTTCTGTCTGCCAGCCTGCCACAGCTGCCCCGTCGGCTATGAAGTTGTGCTCTTGAGAGCTGCTGCTACTCGAGACTGTCGCTCAGTTCTGGCGCGTCTCGCGCGCTCTGCTGTTAAATTATAGACGTCTGCGCACAAAGAGCCAGACCATAAGTCAGCCTTATAATATGTAGCTTATATATTTATATATATATATATATTTTTGTATCTGTTTCTGTATCTGTTTGTGTACATTAGGCTGCATTTTGTTTTTAACCAACTCAATTGGGACCTGTTTCGCCTACACGTTTGAGTGTCGCGCGTTTTTTATCGCTTCATTTTTTGCGCAATTTTTGCACTTGAGTAACGCGTTTATAAATAAAAGCAGCTTACCTTTTTGTTTTTTACGTATATGGCAGTACTTACGCGTACCCGCAGAAAGGCCAATGTCAGGCTCTTATTGGCAACGCGTTCCACTTGATCTTCTTCTCTTTTTGCTGTGTACTTAGAAGTATAATAAGTAAAACTCTCGGTCTGGCCCGGGCGCATGATTGCTTTTTAATAAGCACCACAACACGTCTATATGTGTGTATATATATAAAGTTATATATATATATATATGATATATCGTATCGTATGTGGGCATAAATTTCTTATATTTCTCTCCCTCTGCCTTCCCTGTGCTTTGAGATTATCTTGTACCATGGACAACGTTGTTTTTATGCCCTGCACTAAAACGGTTATTAAAACATTGACTGCGGCTAGGACAACCGTCTAAATACTGTTTAATGCTATTCCTTTTTGGCCAGATTCCGGCACTTTAACATACGTACTCAGCACAAGTACGGAACGAAATTCTTACTGTGACAATTTCTTATACAATATTAATATTACTTTTGTATAAAAACTGTGGCTTTTAAGAAGTCCTGCTTATTATTCATGAATACCCAATGTCTAGGGTATTTCATTGCCCAAGTTGGCTGTTCTATCAGCTCAAATATAGTATTATTTTTTTGTTTAGTTCATTTTCAGCGTGTCATGTTGCCCTTCCTGTGTTGTGGCTTGTGTAGGTGTTTTCTTTTCGTTTTTGTTTTTTTTTTTTTTTGTCTTGTTTTTGTTGTCTTCGCCGTGTTGCTTTTGTTTTTGCCGCATTTGTTTGCTGCCTCCCGACTCTCTGTATGGCAACCTGCAGCACCCGGCTCAAGTTAATGACTAATGTGTGGGGCTTTGTTTTTGTGAATATGCATAAGTTTATGAGCGCGTTGCTGGTGGGTGGGGTGCTGTGTCGGCTTATAAGGCAGACAGAGCCACAGTTCGGACAGGCGGTGAGTGAATCATGGCTGGGCCCACACTTGAGCTAACTGGCAACTTTATTAGCCAAGTTCGTTGCCAGAGTCATTTGTTTCGCTTTGAATTTTTTTGCAGCAACAGCAGCAAAAGCTACCCTAACAAACCGTTAAACGCTCGCTAACATTCACACACACAGATAAAAACTGATAAAGCGAACGCCCGCGCGCATATCGAAGATCGTTAAGCTACAAATAGCCGTGGAGCGAGCGCACTTCAAGCGAAAACGAGGTCAGTTTTGCGGCGAAATAACCATTTTCGTATTTCATTGCGCACAAAACATGACATCATGAGCTTAACAGCGCATGTGTGTGTGTGTCTGTGTGTGCGAGTCAGAGCTTAATTGCAGCTGTGCTAAAGCTTTTTTGCACTTAAGATACATATATATAAATATCAAATATTTTATTGGCGATTTGCTCGCCACTTACCCTTTGCTTGCGCTAATCCACAATGCACGAATGCTGCCAGGCATATGGCATGCCACAATTGATGCGTTGCAAACATTTTCGCCGCCACCAAAAATTTGTATCTAATTAGTCGAAACGGAAAGACAAACGGCATTATTAAATATTAGATTGCACAAAAGAACAGCAGTGGCAACGGCCAACGGCACATGCTCCACAAGAGCCACCACACATTTCATTTGTATTCTTTAACAGTCATACACACACGCACACACACACACACACACGCAAACACACACAGACACACTGTTATATTATGAAACAAAGCCGTAGTGCTAAAGAGAATGCCAGTCAAGTAGCGGCCGAGGCTGCTGGCCAACGGCAAGTGGTAAACGTCGAATACGTCGAAAACTCAACAAATCAACGGCAAATAAACACAAAAAACACAGACACGCACACACATGCATGCACACATGCATATAGTCTGCACGTATTCGCCTTACTTAACGCTAAACACGACGAAAACACGTCCAAGCCGCACGCTGGTCGCGAGGTAACTGAATATCCGCAGCCAGCTGAGCATCAGTTGAAGCCGACGCTTGCGCCTGCGCGTGACGTCTTTTGCTTTTTTTGTTCGCATCGCTGGGCCAATGTGGCCACTGTGCAGCGCTTACTGAATTTCTTGAGGCGCAGCGCGGGGCGCCCAAAGAGTTGTTATACTCTAAGCTCGACAAACGAGAATATATTTATATCTAAACATATACATATTTTGCTTTTAAGCAAATTCAACTTGATTACATTAACAGCACGAAATAATTTATGCAGTCAAAAGCTTTTGAAAGAGGGAGAGAGAGAGTGAGAGAGGAGAGCGAGCTTGCGGCAGCCATGCACACTAACACACTCAGCACACTGATAGAATGTGTGTGATAAAAATCAGCCGGCTGCAAACGACTTAAATGAGAAATTGTGGGAGCGCAGTTTTTTTGCAAGCAATTACATAATATGGCCTTTGTTATTGTTGCTGCTGGTGCAGCCGCTGACATTGGCGCCATTGTTGGTTTTAGTTGTTGCTGTCAAAGCAAACATTTAATTGTTGTCGCCAGCAGCAGCAGCAGCAGCAGGTTCTCAGTCAGCTCAGCTAATCTAAGAATGCATCAAATTATATCAGACACCGAAACTTTGCTACACTGGAGTTCACTGTACTGAACTGACTTCCGCTTTTTGACGCTTTGCAACACCTTCAAGCAGGCAGAACCGTTCTTTTGGTGGTCATTTGGCGCAGTTCAGCCCAGTTGAGGCACAAGCATCGGTGCTTGGACCGGACCTAAAACCATTATGCCATGTTATATGCACTCAATTTCACACTTGTTGGCCGCGCGTGCTCCTCCACTAAAGCGCACTGTTTTTTTATTGTTCAGGCAACACACACACACACACACACTTGTTAGATTTCCAAGCCAATGGGCAGTGGAGCTGATGTGCCAAAAGCTCTGCGCCTATCATTAGGCCAGCTGGCCAGTGAAGCCACAGGGACGGTGGGCAACGAGGGGTCGCGGCTAACAGCAACGGTAAATGACGTGCAAATAAATGCAGTCAACGATGCGCGCTAATTAAATTTGCTTATTATATTTAAGCGAGCACTAAACCATGTTTTATACAACACAATTAATTAAACCTAAACTACAATTGCTAAATAAATCCATTTAAAACAATTTTCAATTAAAGTTATGCTTTGTCACTTAATCTGAAATGTAAAGATAAGCCCCACATATTAAAAAATAAGGTACTCTAGCATTTATTTTTATTAAGCAAAATATAGAAAATAAGTATTATATTTTTTTACGATCAATTTTTATCCAAGCTAAGCGCGAACTTTAAATTCTGTTAAAAAAAATGTTTCTCTCTTTGTGCCCTGTTATCCGTGCGAAACATAGAATTCGGTTGCTGTCTTTGCTTAATGCACGTTACGCCCATGCCGATGGTTGTGCAAATAAAAAGTACACTAGATGGCGCCAGCTAAATAAAAACGTTAAATTTTCAAACTCTTGCGGCTTCCGCGGCTATTTTCAGCCAAAATTAAAATTCTTGCATTTCTGCCGAATAATGAAAATATACTCGACTTAGCCTAAATACAATTAATTTGTATTGCTCTTAATTAATGAATTAATGTTAAATTAGATGCACAAAATTATAAAAAATTCTACAGCAAATCGCTGCTACAGACAAAACACATTGCACCTTCAATAATCCTATGTACGAATATACACACATACATGCAAAAGCATCGAAGAAAATGATTAAGCACAGAGAGAGATGCTTGCGAAAGAGAAACCAAAGCATAAGCAGAAAAAGTTCGACGGCACAAAGTTAACGCCAAATTCCTAGAAAACAGACTTTGCTCGGCGCCATTCGTTCGTCTCGCTCGCACTTGCTGCCATTAAAGCCGATCGTCGTCCTAACGGGACTATGCTCTTCAACACATACATACATACACGCAGTACATTTATATTTATATTTGATGAATTATGCATCTACACTTATAGGCCGGGAGATGTGCAATATGATTATAGTTAAAAACATATTCACACAGAGCACGGCCTAAAAATGATTACATAAGGCGCAAGGCTATGCGCAGTATTTACCAAATTGTTTTAATGTTCCATATATCGAAGAGAGCACGGTTCATTTTTAGGCCGGGAGATGTGCAATATGCTAAACAAATTGATTTAACTGCACATATTGTCACAAATACCGTCCTTAAAATGGTCATGCGGACGCACTAGTTTTTCCAGCTTTAACTTTTCATGGCGGGAATTGAACAACACTAGACACGGCCTGAAAAATATAGCTTGCACATATTAATTGAATTGTGCGCAATCTTGTGTTTTAAATGGAATCTCAATTTTTCCGGCCGTGAAAAGTGCAATACTTGTAAAAATAAAAAAAAAGAATTGACACTGACCACAGCCGAAAAACTAGCGATACTTTTGACAATAGAAAATTGCACTATAATTCAAGCACAGAACTAGTAGAAAAATAAATTAGTACACTACTGAAAAAAGCTTAAGCCTTTTACTTATCGCAATTATATTCGATTTTAAATTGGTCCTTCCAAAAAAAAAAAAGAAAACCAAGTGCAAGTCCTAATCTGTCTGCCAGACGAGTTGCTCGGCACGACGAAAAAGTTATAATGACAAGCTTGAACATTTACAGCGAATTATGAGTTTCGTACAGAGGCTGTTAGGATAACAGCAGGAGCTGTTAATCATTTGAAAGGGCTGTTATGATAATCGATCCGTCGACTGATTCCAATTTTCGATAGTTTGGCTGAATTTATAATTGAAAAATATTAAGTAAAGTTTATTTTACATAATATATTTCGTATTGCAGAATATACACATAAGCTTAACTTATTAGCTACTTATCATTATCTATCATTAGTTTCGTAAGTTCCATTAATTTTGGTTTCATTTCCTTGTAATACCCCGTTTGCTGATGCATCAGGGCGTAAAGTTTAACGCGTTCGTTCTGAATGCTTTGTATACGTTCGCGATTCTCTCTGCTCTTTGCCATGGCAATCTGAGGAAAAACATATTTAATGTATACCATCAGACCATAATAGATTTGTACTAGAACTGACCCCAATAGCCTTTTCCTGAGAAACTATTTGCTTTTGGATAAATCGAATGCTGGAATCCATGAGGCGCATGCGCACCGGCCGTGTCCGTTCCTCTGGCGTCAGTTTATGAACGTTCCTGCAATTGTTAAAAATTAGGTTATTGATTGTTATAGCAAGCTAATAAGCAGCTGTTTTCAGAACTCACCAGCTAGTGCCTTTATAGGGTTCAAACTTTTCCTTAAGCACCTCCATGGTAATCAACTTCTTGCCAACATCATTGGACACAAAAAAATGATCGTTTATCTTGGGCAACGCCTGGCTCATTCTCGCGCGTACACGTTCGATTAGAGTATCCTTGTTTAGGATAGTGTTCTCATGCTCCAATAGAATTGCTGCAAACGGTTCCAAGCACATGGCACTGAAATTGTAAATACATATTAATAACAGTATGGACGCTTGCAATTCAAATTTGATTACAACTTGCCCCATGTCTGCAAAGATTTCCATAAGCGCTTTATCGTATTCCGCTTTTACTTTACCCGCAATTGGGCTGTGCCTTTTGAAGGCTTCTTCAATATTTGGTTCTGATACAGGCATTCTGGCCGGTTGCGACATGTTTTAAACAATACAAATTAACAATAACAAATTTGACGCGGCTTGGGTAGACAGTGTGACCACAGCTCTCAACAGCTGCTACCTATGGGTGCATTCGATGTCTATCGGTGGGCCACCACATTACCACAGTCGATAACTTATCCTCTCCTATCGGTCATTTGCCATATCTAACAAATTTTATAAGATTGTTTTTGTTTACTTACAAGTTGGAATTGCATAAAAAGCCGCCAAAATGGGTAAACGACAGCATCAAAAGGATAAAATGTAAGTCATACAGTCTAATAATTAGTTAATTACTCACTGCTGTTCGTTGTTATTAGGTACTTAACGTACACCGAGTGGACCGAGTTCTATGGTGGCAAAAAAGTGGAATCCTTGGAAAATGAACATATTAAATTTAAACGTTTACCATTTGGCAATTGCTGCATAACTATGGCACCATTCGAAATGCCGTACAGTGATCTCAATGGGAATGTCTTCGAGTATGAGGCTATATTGACATTCTTGAAGGCATTTAAAGTCAATCCCATTACTGGCCAAAAAATGGACTCCAAATCCTTGATCAAACTTAACTTTCACAAAAATGCCAACGACGAATACCATTGCCCCGCATTGTTTAAGCCCTTCAGCAAAAACTCGCACATTGTGGCTGTGGGCACAACGGGCAACGTTTACTGCTGGGAGGCAATCGATCAGTTAAACATTAAGACCAAAAACTGGAAGGACTTGGTGGATGATACACCATTCCAACGCAAGGATATTATCACAATACAGGATCCCCAGCATTTGGAAAAGTTCGATATATCCAAGTTCTATCACATCAAGAAAAATTTACGTGTGTTAACAGCGGAAGAGCAGCTGGAGCGCAAGGATCCCCTGGGACGCATCAAGACCATGAATATGGAAACGAAAGAAACGCTGGCACAGCTACAGAAAGATTATCAACCAGCGGAAGAGGCACCATCTGGCTCTAAACGCACCGCAGACAAGTTTAACGCAGCGCACTACTCAACCGGCGCTGTTGCAGCCAGCTTTACGTCCACTGCCATGATGCCCGTATCCCAAAGCGAGGCAGCTATCATTGACGATGATCTTGTCAAGTACGAGCGAGTCAAGAAGAAGGGCTATGTGCGACTGAACACAAATTTCGGGCCGCTCAACTTGGAACTCTACTGCGAGCAGACACCACGCGCTTGCGACAATTTTATTAAACATTGTGCAGATGGCTATTATAATAATGTGCTGTTTCACCGTTCCATAAGGAACTTTATTGTGAGCAACACTCGACTTGGCGCTAAATTCAATAGTAACGTAATCTGTTTTACCTTAGATACAAGGAGGGGACCCGACAGGCACAGGTGCTGGTGGTAAATCGATATGGGGAAAGATGTTTGAGGACGAGTTTAAGCCTAATCTAAGTCACACGGGACGCGGCATGCTGTCAATGGCTAATTCGGGCCCCAATACAAATGGCTCCCAGTTGTGAGTAGCAATTGAAGTAGCTAATAAATTCAACTGGTGATTACTCTCTCTCTCTTTCTCTATAGCTTCATTACATATCGCTCATGCAAGCAGCTTGACGGCAAACACACAATTTTTGGCAAACTTGTTGGAGGCCTTGAGACTTTGCAGAAAATGGAAAACATTGAGGTGGACAACAAGGACAGGCCCATTGAGGACATCATAATAGAGAACGCTCAGGTGTTCGTTAATCCATTCGAAGAAGCTGTCGAGCAGCTGGCCAAAGAGCGTGCCGAGGAAGCGGCCAGTAAACAGGTGGCGGCCATAAAGCTTGAACAGCAAAAACGTTTAAACGAACCGCTTAAAAAGTACCGTGAAGGAGTGGGCAAATATCTAAAACCAAGTGCGCCCAAAAACCCAGAACCACAATCACAATTGCCTGGAGCACAGCCAGCGAAAAAGAAGAAACATACAAACGGTTTTGGCGATTTCTCCAGCTGGTAGCTGTGTTCAAATAAACACATATTTTTAATAAGCGTACACTGCTTCACTTTTCATTCTCTCCACGCTCACGACTTTGCCAGGTCTTCTTCATCTCCTGCAATTTGCCTTGCCGGCGTTTGCGCTCCGAGGACTTTTTCTGATCGAGCACTTTCTGTTGTGCTGCAATTGACTGTTCGCCGTTTAGGTGCGCATCGAGCTTATCCAACAATATTTTACGCGCCTCAATCCGGTTCTTGGAAGCCAAACGATGTAGATGACACTTGACGGTTATGCCAGTTGGCAGATGACGTAGAAAGACGCAATTGTTGGTTTTGTTTACGGCTTGTCCACCAGGTCCGCTGCCGCGCAATAATGTCTCCTCAATGTCCGACTCCTGGAGACTTGGGTAGCGTGAGTAGTCCAAGTGAGCCGTGGACGCCAGCCGGCACAGGTTGCTGGAGAGTGCACCAGCCAAAGATCGCAACTTGAGCATTACTAGAGTATTCGACCTTTCTTGAGCAATGTTTCGCCGCGCTGTATTTGAAATCCAGGTAAATTCAAATTTATTTCAATTTATTGTGATATAATAAGAAAAACACACCTTAAAATTGAACTCAATCTCTAGGGGACTTGTTAGCTGCCGATTCTCACGGAACTCGTGCCGCACTCGACCCAGAAAGTAGTTTTTATCCGTGAGCTTCAGGTGATTGCCGTATTTGATAAGATGCTTATAAAGGCGAAGCACCTGTTGTCGTGTTGGTTGAAACATATTCCTTTAAATCCCAACAAGCATTTGTTGTTCTCACATACGCATGTAAAACTGAATTGCTACCAGACTACAAAAAAAAAAAACAGAGTTGCCATATCGGCTGTGCGGCTCACCATATGCGATTTAAATCAGCTGATGACAGCACATGGTATTTTCTTATGATAAACACACACACACAAAAATATGTATATGTTAAACAGCGGTTTTAATCAACATATAAATTTGATAACGTACTTAGCTATATATACACTTTTTACAACACAATCACCAATAATTTATATTTATGTTAACAAGCAACTGGTAAATTCTCAAGTCATGGCCAATGGCAATCTTTTGTTTGCTAATTCACATTGACGGGTTTGTGCTTAATAAATTGTTATCTATTCGAATTCCACGCTATTAATCCATGTACTGCTATCAATATCTTCATCGATTTGAACATTGTGCAAGCGGCTCAGTTCAAACATTTCCTTCATTTGGTGGGCAATCTCACGATCGACTATTTCACCTCCTTGTGACATAGCCTCCTGTATGATTTCGTCCTCCGTTTTCTGGAGGGCAATCATTTCAGCGATCGTCAATGTTGGAGGCTCGACTAGCATCATTAAGAATGATGCTGAAATGCTTAGCGAATACGGTAAAAATCGTATATACTCCTTCAGCAAATTCTCGCGACTACAAGGAAACATAAATTTGTAAGTCCAATCAAGCTATTAACATTATAATCATACCTCAAAAATTCCGGAATTTGCCCCTCTTTGTGCTTTGTGTAACTCTCAAAAAGCGCAGTGCAATAATCATCGAAAATACTATCGAAATGCTTATGACGCACATCCGCGAGCACAGAGTTTGCCAGGAATGTTGAGAGGTCGATCATGGGCGAGGACAGACGCATTGTCTGATAATCAAACATCATTATATCCAGGGGAGTGCCATTATTGTCCGTAGCGTACTTGTAGGCCACATTATTTCGCAGGTAGTCCCCGTGGCAGAGGATAGAGAGTGGTTCCTTAGGCCCCACCCGCTGACGTCCATAGCCCACGTAGTCCCACACAGTCTGCTGAAACTTTTTGATAAATTCCTTGTCCACTTCTGGATAGTAAGTGGTCGTCGCCTTGGCAACACGTTTTAGTCCAGTTTTCCCTATTAAAGCATATTCGGGATTCATAACATCGTTGGCATATCGAGATTCCCTAAATTGGCGAGTTAGCTGCTCGAAACGGTCCTTCTGGTTGTGCTTAATAGCATAACCAAATCCATGAAACATGCCCAAGTACTTGACTGGAAGAATGATATTCCTTAGTAACTCACTTAATTGATCTTGATCTCTGGCTCACCTGCGATGCGCGTGTGCTCCAGACTCAGGCCATATCTGTCCTTTGTCACACTCCAGCCATCCGCTGAAAAGTCCCCCAGGATAAGCCATGCAGAGTTCGGTTTTATCTCGCTGTGATAATACTTGGGTGCAGCAAACTTGCCATTGCTCAGCTTTAGAATTAGTGGTAGTATCTCGGTATAGAAACTAACTTCGTTGTGGAATAGATCACCGAACTGTGCATTCTCGTAAAACTCAGGTGGTACCTCTGGTGTTTTCTGTAAATGGGAACGTGTTAATTAATTCATCAATTCAAATCATTTTTAGTACACTATTCAAATAGTATTGTATGCGCACCTTAACAACAAACTTGCGCTGCTGCTCCTCGCCGGCGTATTCAAAATTAACTGTTGCTCGATAGCATTGAGTCAACATAAACGCCTCTTCGGGTCCGATGACGGCGATTTTAATGTCCCCAACCTTGAATGTGCTCAGCTGTGACTCGCTGTAATTGTCCACTAGACGTCCGTTTTTTAGAATCTCAGGCAAGATTGAAGTGGTCAGCCACTCGACTTCTCTATCAACGTTCAGCGCCATTATCAGAGAGTATATTCGAGAACCGCTCAGCTTCGTGAATAGCGTACAACTAGTCGTTAGACGGCTATGCAGTGCTCATTTTAAGCGACAATAGACGAACGTGAACATGTGTATATACATTTATATTTGTATAAACTAATCAGTGTGTGTTTGCTCGTGTGTGTATTGATGATGTTTGTAATATTATTGTTTGGGCTTGTCGAAATGAATGCGAATTTAATCGCAAAATGTGAGGGTTCTCAATAGTGAAAACAGTGTGCTCTCCACGATAAGATATGATCACATTTTTGTGGCGGCTTATTGCTGTGAGCGTCGAGTTATGAAATACAAAGCTGTGCAAAGCTAAAAGATATAATTACTTGACTAATGTTTTATAAATAAGAGAACATCTTGTCTACTCTTAAACATGTTCAATTTTATAAAACTTTACACATTCGTATTGCGCATGTTTTCATCAATCCAATGTGGGCCATCATTCCATCTTTGCTTTAAAGCTGTTTAAACATTTTATTTATATGCAGATTCAATTAATAAATCGTCGCGACTGCAAAAATTTGATTCCTTATTAGTGTTCATATATAAACTTTAAAGATATACAATTACTTGAAGTACGCTGGAAGTGTATTAATTTAATGTCTCCAATAGCCTTCAAATAAAGCATGACAGTGAAAGTTCCTTGAGCAAGATTATTGGATGGTGAATCTTAAAGCAATGCTGTGGGCGTATAAAGCGAAACAGGTCGATATTATCAATTAGCGGTACGATGCTGCTAGGGAATGGAACTGCTATTTAGTTTTGCTGCGCTGGGTAATCCGATGATGAGATGGGCTAAAGGAAAATAAACTTGATCTTAATAAAAGTTGGCCAATGGCGATGGCTGCCAACACTGAACGCTTTGTGGGCTTGCCAATTGGATTAAAAACCTACCTCAATTTAGTTCTTGGAATCCAAACGACGCAGATGCCACTTGACCGTTATTCCAGTTTTCTAGGAGGCTGCCGATTCTTACGGAACTCATGTTACACTCAACCCAATAATAATTCCTATCCGTGAACTTCAGGTAATCACCTGTATTTGATAAGATGCTTTTAAAAGCGGTTGGTTGCAACTCATTCTCTCAGTCTCAGCAAGAATTTGTTGTTAACTAAATGCATATATGTAAGCGTATGTACAATTAGGTTGCTGCCAGACTAGATATAGAAATAGCGTTGCCATATCGACTATGCGGATCACCAATATAAATTCAATCCATATACATATGTACACACTTACAAATATATTTGTTTGAAAAAACGCAGATTTGGGTCAACATACATAGCTAATTGATAATGTGTTTATATAAAGGCGAAGCACAGCTATTGATATACAGATAGATATTAAAAGTCATTGCCAATGGCAATCTTTCTATCTAGAATTCATGAATTGTTATCTATTCGAATTCCACGCTATTAATCCATGTACTGCTATCAATATCTTCATCGATTTGAACATTGTGCAAGCGGCTCAGTTCAAACATTTCCTTCATTTGGTGGGCAATCTCACGATCGACTATTTCACCACCTTGTGACATAGCCTCCTGTATGATTTCGTCCTCCGTTTTTTGGAGGGCAAGCATTTCAGCGATCGTCAATGTTGGAGGCTCGACTAGCATCATTAGGAAAAATGCCGAAATACTTAGTGAATACGGCAAAAAGCGAATGTACTCCTTCAGCAAATTCTCGCGACTGCAAGGAAACATAAATTTGTAAGTCCACAAAAACTATAAACATTATAATCATACTTCAAAAATTCCAGAAGTTCCCCATCTGAATGCTTTGTGTAACTCTCAAAGAGCGCAGTGCAATAATCATCGAAAATACTATCGAAATGCTTATGACGCACATCCGCGAGCACAGAGTTGGCCAGGAATGTTGAGAGGTCGATCATGGGCGAGGACAGACGCATTGTCTGATAGTCAAACATCATGATGTCCAGGGGATTGCCACTATTGTCCGTAGCGTACTTGTAGGCCACATTGTTTCTCAGGTAGTCCCCGTGGCAGAGGATAGAGAGTGGTTCCTTAGGCGCCACTCGCTGACGTCCATAGCCCACAGAGTTCCATACAGTTTGCTGAAACTTTTTTACAAACTCTTTGTCCACTTCTGGATGGTAAGTGATCGTTGCTTTGGCAACACGTTTTAGTGCAGTCTTCTCAACTAATTCAAATTCTGGATTACTAACATCGTTGGCGTATCGAGATTCCCTAAAGTGGCGAGTTAGCTGCTCGAAACGGTCCTTCTGGTTGTGCTTCATAGCATAACCAAATCCATGAAACATGCCCAAGTACTTGACTGGAAGAATGATATTCCTTAGTAACTCACTTAATTGATCTTGATCTCTAGCTCACCTGCAATGCGCGTGTGCTCCAGACTCAGGCCATATCTGTCCTTTGTCACACTCCAGCCATCCGCTGAAAAGTCCCCCAGGATAAGCCATGCAGAGTTCGGTTTTATCTCGCTGTGATAATACTTGGGTGCAGCAAACTTGCCATTGCTCAGCTTTAGAATTAGTGGTAGTATCTCGGTATAGAAACTAACTTCGTTGTGGAATAGATCACCGAACTGTGCATTCTCGTAAAACTCAGGTGGTACCTCTGGTGTTTTCTGTAAATGGGAACGTGTTAATTAATTCATCAATTCAAATCATTTTTAGTACACTATTCAAATAGTATTGTATGCGCACCTTAACAACAAACTTGCGCTGCTGCTCCTCGCCGGCGTATTCAAAATTAACTGTTGCTCGATAGCATTGAGTCAACATAAACGCCTCTTCGGGTCCGATGACGGCGATTTTAATGTCCCCAACCTTGAATGTGCTCAGCTGTGACTCGCTGTAATTGTCCACTAGACGTCCGTTTTTTAGAATCTCAGGCAAGATTGAAGTGGTCAGCCACTCGACTTCTCTATCAACGTTCAGCGCCATTATCAGAGAGTATATTCGAGAACCGCTCAGCTTCGTGAATAGCGTACAACTAGTCGTTAGACGGCTACGCAATGCTCATTTTGAGCGACTATGGAATAGCGAAATATGTACGAGTAGAAATTTATATTTGTATGGACTAATCAGCGTGTGGATACTCGTGTGTACATGTTTGATTTTTGTAATATTTGTTTGGTCTAGACCAAATAATTGCGAATTTAATCGAGTAGTGTGATTGTGCTGAATAACGAAAACAAGCTCTCGATAAGATATGATCAAATTTTTGGGGTGAAAAAAAAAGCGGGTGATTTCTGAGAGTGATAAGAGAGTAAACAGCACAAAGTTTTGCAAAGCTGAAACACATAATTAGGTGAAAAGTATTTAATAGATTAGAAAGCATTTTGAGATAATATACTTTTATGTAGCCAATTCTTAAGTTTATGCCATTCGATACAACTTAAGCACTTTCCTATATCCAATTTGTTTCTGTTATAAATTTGCAAGCATCTTTAATCCAATCTGATGTATCAATATCCTCATCAATTTGCACTTTGTGCAATTGGCTCAGCTCGTACAATTCCTTTATTTGATGGGCTATTTCCCGGTCCACCAGCTCACCGCCTTGCTTCAACGCTGTCTGAACAATTTCCAAATCCGAAAGCTCCGTGTTAAACATTTCCTCCGCCGAAACTGTTGGTGGTTCAACCAGCGAGAAGAGGAAGTAGCACGTTATGTGCACAGCGTATGGCAATATCCTGATGTACTCCTTCATCAAATCATCGCGACTGCAACAATTCAGCTCTTGATTAATGTTAATACAATAATCTTAAAGATATGTATTTACTTGAGGTACGCCGGAAGTGAAATACTTGAATGTTTCCTATAACTTTCAAAGAGCGCATTGCAATAATCATCAAAAAGAGTATCAAAATTGTTGTAGCGCACTTCCGCCAAGAGTGAGAGTGCCAGGAACACGCAAAGATCCATCATGGGCGAGGACAAACGCATTGTCTGATAGTCAAACATCATTATATCCAGTGGAGTGCCACTATTGTCCGTAGCGTACTTGTAGGCCACATTGTTTCTCAGGTAGTCACCGTGGCAGATGACAGCGAGTGGCTCCCTGGGCGCCACCCGCTGACGTCCATAGCCTATATAGCTGTATAGGAGTAGCTGAAACTTTCTGACGAATTCCTTGTCCACTTGGGGCTGATATGTAGCTACTACCCGCTCCGCTCGCTTGAGGCTGGCCTTATGTTTTAGTTCCCATTCATGGTTCAGAGATTCTTTGGCATAACGTCCTTCTCTGAGCCTGCTCGTGAGCTCCTGGAAGCGTTCCTTATGATTGTGCTTCATGGCATAGCCGTAGCCATGAAACTTGCCCAAGTACTTGACTGGCAGTAGGATAGTCTTTAGCAGATGGCTTAGTTCACTTTGATCTCTGACTCACCTGCAATGCGTGCATGCTCCAGACTCAGGCCAAATCTGTCCTTAGTCATTCTCCAGCCATCCTCCGCAAAGTCGCCGAGGATGAGCAGTGCGGAGTTCGGCTTGATTTCGCTATGATAATACTTGGGTGCAGCAAATCTGCCATTGCTCAGCTTTTGAAGAAGTGGCAGTATCTCGACATAGAAGCCCACTTCATTGCTAAATAGATCATCAAATTGCACCGAATCGTATACCTTAGGCAATATCTTTGGAGTTTTCTGCGGATATCAATGTGAAACGTTGTTTATCATCACGTATTCTTTGTATCTGTTTTATAATCACGATTAAGAGATTGCTTAAACTGTATCGTTATCAGGTGGAAAGCTTGTCTAGTATAAGTTTTGTGCATCTCATAAACATAATACAGAGCTATATTTTGACATGCTTATCTACTATATTATACTTTTCTTATTTCATGCTTACCTTAATAACCAGTCTCCTCTGATGCTGCTGGCCGGCATATTGAAATTTGATATGAGCCTTGTAGCATATGGTTAACATGTAGGCCTCATCGGCGCCGATTACATTGATATCGATGCTCTCCACCTGGAATGTTTCCGCCAGCGACTCGCTGTAGTTCTCCAATAGTCGTCCACTACGCAGGATCTGCGGCAAGACGCTTGTCGTTAGCCATTTGATTTCGTTCTCAACAATCAGCGACATTTTAGAGATAGAAGTAGATACAGCCACGGCAGAAGTTTCCGACTGACAATAGCTGAGCCTCTTGTGTTTCTTATGTATGAGATAATACGTGATATCTGTCTCTTATCTGAACAGATATCACTCGTGCAGCCACATAGACATCTTAATCTATTGAGGCCTGTCGTGACTTTTGTTCCATTTCCTACGCTCTTTATCTTCAAATATCTGTTCTGTCAAGGAACAGGTCAGGTAGATGTGGAAGATCATTTTCAAAATATCTTCGAGACTTACTCGCTAGCTAATATCAAGTTTGATTTTACTATTTTGACTCAAGTTGCTTCGCTTTAAAATTCAAAATTTAAACGATATTTCCGTGCAATACCCATTAACAGTATTAGACAACTGGCCATGTCGCACAAGTGGTATAGGCTCTCAATCTCGGGCTCGTTCGCTAATCCGCAGAACTATGTTAACATATTGTCGAATGCCAGGATGTCTTCTTTCACGCCAACGCAAACGCCAAAATATATGTCGGTTACGGGCAGTGTCAGCGATCTGAGCTTGTCCACCTTGTCCCGCATGTCTCTTTTGGGCAAACCAAGTGCCAAAAAGTTGACAAAAAAGCAAATCCCGAAAATGCCAAGGGTCAGGCAAAAAAAAAATGAATCATGCGTAGCCCAGTGTCAGCAGAATCAGTGCACGGCAGAAGAATCCCAGCTGATAAGAAACTTTATCAGAGAAGTGCGCTATCGCGAGCTCAGGCAGTACTATGCCAAAATGATTGCCGCCGAGAGAAGCTGGCCATCGTATATACCGATCTGTTGCATGTGTTCCGGGTGCGGATTACCCAAGTTTAAAGCACCGGCCAAGGATATACGTCACAATGTCTATTGTTGTGGACCTGAAACTATGTGCTAAGCGCAGCATTGGCTCAAGTTTCTCGCTGCTGCACTTACCTGCCAAAGATGCTTCTCTTGATCCACCCACTCACCGGCTAGGTATCTGTGTGTGTGTGTGTGTGTGTGTGTTTAAGAGCAGCACCTTTGGCATATAAGTTTCTTAGCCATCGTACCAGCTTCCATCTGTATATACTTATATAACATTTGTTCAATTATAATAAATCACATGTGCGTTCGAGATTGGAGCTTTGTGTGGCTTGTCAACTGATGCTGTTATGTCAGCACAGTCAGTAACTGGATTCGTTTTAGTCAGCATATAGCTCGAACATCTCGCTCTCATATTCTCCTAGTTGACCAGTTCAAGCCGCCGTACCATGTATTCAGAGCCGCCCCAGAGTACGAAAAACACACAGACGGAGGCACAGCCGGCACCGCCCCCGATATGTGTGCCCCTGCTCATGGTCGATGAGGATGGCAGGAGGCGGTACTGTTACCATGGCGGCAAATGCCGTTGCGAAATGTGCGAGAGAATACGGCAAGCACAACAGGAGGAACTGGACAGGAATCTTGATGCATTCATACCACATAACCGTCTCAAGCTGGAACCGGCCATACGTCAGGTGAAGCACAAGCAATATAAGCTGGAGGCTAGGCGCGTCTCGCCGGAATATGGTCTGATGCTGCTCAAGGATCACTTGCAGATAGTCAAGGATGTTCCAACCTATTACCTGCCGGACAAGTATTATCTGAGAGATGCTTGGCGCGTTATTGGTCCGCTGGACAAGGGCACGCAAACCGAAATACTTATTGGCAACTATGGTGTCGATGGTTGTCCGTGTCCCGAGAAGACCGTTTGCTGGGATATCTAGTCCTGTAACAATCACTAGGGGAATAAAGACTCGAGATGAGTTTGTATTAAGCGCAGTCTTCAATTGATTTTCGGGTTGGGCATCCGTTGACAGGACAAACAAATGTCTTGACAGCTGGAAGAGCTGACGCCTCCAGTCGAGACTCAGATCAATGTGGCTTATTGAGCAGCTGATTTAAACAGACTTTTTCGTAACAAAATTTTCGAATTTCCCACACAATGCTAAGACGTATGAAAAGCGTGAAGCTGCTGCAATCGGCATTCTCTCTCGCCAGCGGACGCCGTCAAGCAACTACCAAAATCGACGAGCACACCCACGTAACCGGCGTGAATGCGTTCATGGCCAAAGGAGATGTGCGTACGGAAAATGTGAACGTGTTACCCAAAACCAAGTACGGCGGCATCACGCACGTAACGCTCCTCTGTGGCGAAACCATAATTGGCAAGCAGGGCGCCAAGTACGTGAAATCGCTGCTGTCCAGCGCCCGGGTGCCGGTCGATGTGCAGCGCATCTTTGTCGATCAGGGCACAGAGTATTACAATTCGGTGTTGCGCAATCGAGCTGCCATTCATGTGGACATTGTGCACGATGCGATTTCGAAAAAGAAATCGCTAAAGGTCTGCAATGATCTCGATCTGCATGTCTTTCTGACCAATCTGCGCAGCTTTCCGGGCTTCAACTGCCGCTTTCCCAATGTGAACATCCAGCTGATTGCGCAAAACAACATGGGCAACTATGCCGAGCTGGAGTATTCACCAGTGAAGGGTGTGGTCGAGGGACTGCGCGTTGTCACCAGCCGGCACATCAAACGCTTTCTGCGTTACGCCTTCAAGGCTGTGATGGATAAAAAGCGACAAAAGGTCACTCTTGTGCACAAGTCAAGCGAGTGGCCAAAGACTGAGGGTATCCTGCTGGATATTGCGCACAACCTGCAGGAGAAGGAATATCCCGATATTGAGCTGGAGCCGATGGAGCTGGACAAATGCGTTGCCCGTCTGATACTCGATCCGGAGTACTTTGATGTGCTGGTCACGAGCGATTTGTACGGCACCTTTATGGCTACCATTTGTAGTGCCATCTGTGGTGGTGCGAATCTGTTTTCCTCGACTGAGATTGGGGAACATCATGCGGTGTTCAAGCCGCTGCAAACGAAACTCTCGTTGACCAACTACAAGGTGCTTAGTCCGTATGGAATCGTGTCCGCCTGCGTGGATCTGATGCATCATCTGGGCCATGACGATTGCGCCAATGCGCTCTGGACCGAAATGATTCGCACCATGGAAACGGGCATCAAGACGGCCGACTTTAAAGGCACAGACCGTGGCGAATATGTCATATGCAATATTATGAATCGTCTGCGTTGCAACATGTTCACCGAATTTAACAAGAACGATTGAGGAAATCAATTTATGTATTAAATTTATTTCAATTGATTCGGATACATAAAATTAACAAAATACATTTATGGGAACGAAAAATGATCAAAAATTGCGTCTCATATTATTGCCGAGCTGCGCTTGCAAAAGGAAATAAAAGAATATCTGTCGTTGATATTTTTCTCTCTTTGAGACGCACCTGCTGGTCCTCGGTGCGCAAGTTGCTCTCGCTCGTCTGCATCTTCCAGTCGTCGGTGAAGGTGACCAGCTCGACGACACGCTTAAAGGACACACTCTTCTTGACCTTTGGGTGTGGGTGCAGAGTCTTGCCCTTCTTTTTGCTGGGGTACTTCATATAATCGTAGACGATCGGCTCCTTAATATCGATGTGGGACGGTGTCGGAGCTGGGACTTCCTTCAATTTTGTCGATCCACCGATTTCAGATAGAATTTGCTTCTCTTGTGGCTTTTCGATCGCATCCATGTTGCTAAGAATTTTGTTAAAATTTACATAATACGTTTGCTTTTGGTGCTTAAACTTCGATTTGGAACGCCAAACTCATTCGATTTTGGCTAAATATTTTAATACACAATATTTTTCGACTAATATTAAAACAAGTATTTCTTTTTCGGTAAAACTCTTATAATTTTATTAAATTTTGGGAATTTCAATTTTGTTAGTCAAGTTGATTGAGTGAAAAATGAATGACTAATTTTCCAATTTTAGAAACTTTCAAACTGAAAACTATGAGCTAAATTATGGAAACTCAGCTGAAGACAACAAAGGTTAAAAAGGTAATATTGAAGCCAATTAAAATTGAAGGACCAAAAGTAACCCAGCCAAGCGCTGTTAATCATATTATGATAAGAGCAAATATGTGAATGCAAAAGTACTGCACGTAATAATAATAATGGGCTATTATGTGTTATGGCAGTGCAATAAACTTTACTCCAATTTGCACGTACAATTTCAATAAATTTATGCGCAACCATTGCCAGAGGCAACAACTGTAAACAACTACATAAATTCCATACCAAAAACTCGCAGAAAGAGACCCGGCCAGAGTCGGCGACTGTAATAGAGACCGTAGAACAATTGCTTCAACTTGGTTAAGGCCCTGCACAGAGAGGGCGGCAATAAAATGCTTGCTCGCCCGAAGTGTAGCATATTTGCAGGCGGGCGTTGGGGAGATAAATAAATAAATTGGTACATGTGTAAGCCCCAGTCGATACTTTATCATCATGCAAATGGCTCGGCTGTCGGGCAATGTTAATAAGTACAATAAACGGCTGAGCAAACAGCAGGAACAACAACCACAAGCTCGCAACACAATGTAAATTGGGCAAATCCTTGCCGTGGGCCAAGGCCTTGCCATGCCAAATAATGGCTCCTTTGGCCAGTGTCTTCTGGCTCCATTTTAATCCCAAGGCAGACACACACACACACACACATACTTTGTATATTTGTAGCAATTTATTTATGTCTATGCCAAATTACATACAAAAAGTCACTTAAATTAGAATGTTACACATTGCCCACCCCCCATCTGCGCTCCCCCTCAGTGCATCTGCCATTGCAGCTAACATCTTGTCCGAGTCCGATTCCGAGTCCAAGTCCGAGTCCAGCGGCACTTGCTCTGGGTCATTGCTCCGCTAGAGTCAGCTCGTTGTTGTTGCTGTTGCCGCTGGCCAGCTTGGCCTTGGCCGTGCTGCACATCATCATAAAGGTGACCAGGGTTAGCTCCAGCATGCGGCACACACAATAGGCGACCACATCCACCAGATGCTCCACGACGCCCAAATACAGACACATTTTCAATTGCACTGGCACTTTAAGTTCGCTTTCTTTAGTTTATTTAACTGGTTTGGCTCTTGGTTTCTATCGCTTGGCGTGTTGCCTGTACAATGTTTATGTTGTCGCCTTTTCCAAATGACAACAGTTCACATTTGCGGCAACGTTTTCAGTCCTGTTGCTGCTGCTGCTGCCCGAGCTGTTCTCGTCTCGTATTTCTCTACAAAACAATTGCCGAGTGGGCGGCACAATCGACAGCTTCCCAGTGTCGGTGCATGCGCATCATCAATATGCTCTCTCGAGCTGTTCCACCTCTTCCTCTAATCATACACTGGACAAGTTTCGAACTTTCAGCTTGTAAGTATTTCAATGAAAATCTGACGATAACTGTAGGGATAATAGCATCATATTATATTCTAAGTAAATAAAAAGTAAACATATAATTATAAACAATTTTTCATAAAATAAACATATTCAGACCCGGGTAGATGTGCTGTCCATGTGACCCAGTCATCAACGAGGATCCGAGTCCATCTAGCCATATCTGTCTGTCTGTCCGTCAGTTCGCAAGTATCTCAGATCCTATAAGAGCTAGAGATTTGTAAGTTTTTATCATATCAAACACTTTGTTTTCGTGCTAAACCAAGTAGCAGTTGCCCTTGGACTCAGCCAATACTTGAGACTAGCACAACAATTGTCGCGTGTCAAGCGATTCAAACAGTTCGACAAAAGGTAGCCCAAAGTAAGTCCAAAGGACATTTATTGCCTCTCCACTCCACTCGACACGAGGGACAGCGCCAGAGCTGAGCTCGAGCCAGAGTTTGTTGTGGCCATATGGTGCCGGTTGCTGGAGTGCGGCTCGATGCAACATATGGTCAGTAGACGGAAGGCACTAAGAAATTCAACAGCGAGTTAATTGATGTGCCAGTCTGTAGCCAGTAGCTCATCCTCGCTCTCACCCTCGCTCAGGCCTCTCGCTTGCTCGTGCTGTTGTGTGCTGTTGAGCGTGAAAGTCACAAATTATAGAAAAAGAGATCACATGCCATGATAGCGGCAATTTGGCAAGCTATGACGCGTGCCAGGGCCAAGGCGAGAGCGGCACAGCATGAATGAGGCAAAGGTCAAAGTAGTAGGCGGGAGCGAGCGAGCAAGAGCAAGAGCGAGAGAGGGAGCGAGAGCGAGGGAGAGCGCATCTAACCCCTAACTGGCCGCCCCTGTTGACGATCCTTAATATGGTAATGATGAAGATCCTGGCTGAGGGGCAAGGGGTCATTTGCGGGCCACACTCATACAAACTTGGTCAGCGCAGCGGTAATAATATTTGTGCAACTAGGCACCGTGGCCCGAAGGGTGGCTTTGCGTCTAACTGCAGCATAATCATTTCGTCTCTGGCCAGCTCGTGCCGCTCGCGCGTCAGTTGCAGTTGCGGCACAACATTCGAGCCGTGCAGAGCTGAAAACGCCAAAGAAATGAGCCGCTACTACTCATCGGAGGAGGATAACAGCTCACAGTATCTGGGCAGTCCCAACTACAATCTAACGCTGATGTCCAGCGCCACGTCGGCGCAGCAGTACAACCAGGTGGCGTACTTGTCGCCCGACTGGCAATTTCTGGATGCCACAGGCGGCGCCTTGGAGCAGCAACAGCACCCAGCACCCGCCAGCTATGATGAGACGCACACCATGCAGATGCAGCATGTACTGCCGCAGGATGAGAGCCAGCAGCCGCTGAAGAAGCGCAAAATAGGCCCGCGCAGATTGAGCGTACAGTCGACGCCCAGCTCGCTGGTGCTGAGCCCCACGGTGCAGAAGCGGAGACGGCAGGCGGCCAATGCGCGCGAGCGAAAGCGCATGAATGGGCTGAACGAGGCATTCGACAGGCTGCGCGAGGTGGTGCCGGCGCCCTCCATTGACCAGAAGCTGTCCAAGTTCGAGACGCTGCAAATGGCCCAATCCTACATATTAGCGCTGTGCGATTTACTGGACAACAATGGCGAGGACGTGGATGCTGCCGCCTACACGATCTTTGGCGGTAGCGAAAGCAGCTTTGAGCTGGCATCTTAAACGATAAAAATAGGAATATTATATATTATATAAAGAGCGTTATTTGGTTAAAATTGAATCTAAGATTTAAGGTTTGTGATTTTCTTCTAACTGTAGCATTATAATAAAACATATTGCATTAAATTAAGAACATTATTAAAGAACTTCAAATTTACTAAAGGGTTGCTCACTGTGGAATCGGGATATCCGAAGAAACAATGAAGTTTCCGATCCAAAATTCTTATTTTACAAATGTTTTAATCCTGTTGATACTGATCAAAAGCTAATATGTAACATATTATCTTAGCTTTAGCTTATTTCGTGACAAACTTAAGTCTATCAAAATTGACTTCTTAAAATCCGCAGCTTTCTGTGCATCATGAAAATCAATTAGCTGGGCTACGCTTCAATAGTTCCGAACACCGCTCATAAATTAATTACTAAAAACTTCATTGATAGAAAAACAATAAGTTCGGCAAACCCCTAACGAAACGACCTTACAGAGCGGTATTTATGGCAATACCGAAATGTTATCCTCATATCGCACTGAAGCGTAACGCCCCTTCAGGTAAGCAGGGTGCTTTTTTCAAAGCTACTTTGGCATGCTTCCGTACAATAAAATGCAATTGAGGGTTTTTAGTTGGTGTAAGACATTTTATGGTGCTATGGATTGTATGGATGATGTGTGAAGAAACTGGAGCTATGGTTAGATTGGTTTGGCATAGGTAGTCAGTGACTAGGTGATTATTTTGGCATGGGCCGCATTGCTTTTGGATATCTTTCAACTGCCCGATGTTGTCGCTCGTAATTCTCTACTTCGAAGTCCTTCACGCTGAGCGAATACTTCGACGGACGAAAGCCCGGAACCGGTGCATGCAACACAATGACGTCTCGTTTCGAAGCATTGAAATTTAATTTCAGAAACGGATTACTTGCAAAGCGATCAGCAGGATGTCTACCATTTCGCCGTTCGATATAGTTGTTTCGTACTGCATAGCATTTCGGATGCCGTTCTTCAGTTTCTGGAATTGGGTAATATTCGTCTTCCTTAGTCGGCGCATTATATGATATGTGATTGTTCAGTATGTCTATTGTCTTCTCTGCCAAAGTTGGCGGCACACGGAATGAGCACAGTATAGCCAAACCATCGCGTGTTTGCGATTTATTTACATGCTTAGGATTGACCTTTTTGTATACCTCATAGCCGACATTCTGATGATTGCTGACATTAATGTGTATCTCATCCTGCATTTCGTACACGTACTGGCGTGCTTGGCCGCCGAGGGCCTGGAATTCTAGGTAATGCCACCGATCAGATTGCAAGAGTTTAATAATTTATGAACTTACTGTTTAGGCCGTCGTCGTCGATTTTGTTTTGACGCTTGCTAAGCAAACGTGGCTTAGCTCCCACGGGCGACTGTGACCTTTGTTTCAATTGTTCGTTCTTTGCCACAGGACTTGCAGGACTTGCAGCCTTAGCATTTTTCGATTTATTGAATACGGGTGGCTTGCATGAGCAGATTTTTCCTATTTTTTTGGCTCCTTTATTAGCTGGCTTGGCCTTAGCGGACGGACCACTACTTTCAGTTTCTTTTGAGATTGCATTTTTTTCTTCATTCGATTTTCTCTCTCTTTGCTTTTCTGTTTCCAAGGAATCTTCAGAGCAATTGCATTTCTTTCGATTGCTTCTATCAGTCAATGTCATGTCAATGTCCGTCTCAACGGCCGCCTCGCAAAGACAAGGAGCCCGTATAGGTGCCTCTGGCTCTGGTGCTTCCTTTGCGAGTTCAAGTTTCTCTGCATCGTCTTCGCTTGTTGGGCACTCACAATCAAGCATTACCTCCTCCTCATTTTTTAGGTCTTCCTGATCGGTAAGGGGCTTTTCAGGTATAATTTCCGGCTCGTACTTTTCAGGTGGATACTCTATATCTCGATTAACCGAATCTGGCTGATTTTCTGGATAGGCGCAGTCCACATTATCTTTATAGGGCTCTGTATTGTCACCATAACGAGCTATCTGATTTTCTGGACAGTCCACTTCATCTTTATAGGATTCCTCCTTAGGAGGAGCTGTCTGATTTTCTGGACAGTGGCAGTCTAGATCACCTTTATAAGGTTCCTCCTTAGAAGGAGCTGTCTGATTTTCTGGACAGGCGCAGTCTAGATCATTTTTATATGGACCCTTCTTGCGATTTGCTGGACAGGTGCAGTTTGGATTACATTGAAAGGGTTCCCTCGTGAGATTTGCCGGACAATGGCAATCTTGATCATCATTATAGGTTTCCTTTTTATAAGGAGCTATCTCATTTGCTAGACAGGGGCAGTCTAGATCATCTTTATAGGGTTCCTTCTTACGATTTGCTATACATTTGCAGTCTACATCACATTTAAAGGTTTGTTTCTTGCGGTTATATTGATCTGGCAGATTTGCTGGACAGAGACAGGGATCATAGTGCTCTTGTTGATTTGCAGGTTCATTATTCTTATCTTTGTTAAAATCAGCGTCCATCCTTCTCTTGTTCTCCTGGTAGGTCTGATCCTTATCGCGGTTATACTCTTGCCTTCCTTGGTAGCCATCTTGACGGGCCTGGCTTTCTGGACAGTTACAGTCCTCATCATTTTTATCCGATCTTCTTCCACGGGCATCCTGGATGTTCTGGTATTTAGGACAAATAGGACCCATGTCGGGATCTCGTCCGTCGAAATTTGTGTTGTTCTGGTAATTTGCAGGACATTCATTGTAATCCTGTTCAGATTGGTATTTTGATATAGGATCCTTACCACGATTATACTCATCGTCTCGTCTGGTCTGGTATTTATCTGGTACATATTCCTTATCGCGGTCGTAACTTTGCCTTCCACCATAGTTTTCTTGTGGATATTCACTGTTCATATTGCGGTTAGGATTGTCGGTGGGTTTTTCATAATCTTCCTGACCATTCTGATCTTTTACAGATAAACGGTCCTTTTCACGATTATATTCATCGTCCGTAGTCCCTTCTACGTAGTCATCCCTGTCGGTATCGTAATTTGCGGGATACTCATTGTTTTTTTGACTGTTTCGTGTACTTCTAACCGATGCGCACGTTGCGTTACAACTATCTTTACAAAGATTATTGGGTTCGTATCGATTGTAGCCCTGTTCATCCTTTCTAGATCGTTCTTGTTTTTCGATGCTTTGCCGGTTTGATCTATATTTGGAGCTGTTTCGCGAAATATACCCTTCATCGGCGCGTTGAGATTGCCTTTGCGAAGGCTCCACCGGATCCGTTTCGGGATAATAGGACTGACTACCACGCCTAGATAGTTCTCCTTTATCGCGGCTTTGCCGATTTGATCTACTTTTAGAAACATCTGGCGAAGTCAATTCTTCAACGCCACGTTGAGATGGCTTTCGCGAAGACACTACCGGATCAGTTTCGGGATAATAGTCCTGACTGTTATGCTTTGACCTATATGATTTATCGCGGCTTTGTCGATTTGAATTATTTCTCGAATCATCGATCCGTTGAGATTGTCTTCTCGGAGGCTCCAACGGATCAGTCACGTAGTCCTGGTCATCATTTCCGGACCTTTCTCCTTTTACGCGGCTTTGCCGATTTGATCTATTTTTAGAAGCATCTGGCAAAGTGTAGCCTTCATCGCCCCGCTGAGATTGCCTTTGCGGAGGCACCACCGGAACACCATCTGAATAATATTCCTGACTATTATGCCTTGATCTTTCTGTTTTATCGCGGCTTTGCCGATTTGATCTATTTTTAGAACTATCTGGCGAAGTGTAGCCATCATCGCCCCGCTGAGATTGCCTTCGCGAAGACTCTGCCGGATTAGACTCGGGATAATAGTCCGGATTATCATTCCTAGATCTCCCTTGTTTTTCGAGGCTTTGCCGATTTGATCTATTTCTAGAACCATCTGGCAAAGTGTACTCTTCATCGCCCCGTTGAGATTGCTTTCGCGGAGACACTATCGGATCAGTCTCGGGATAATAGGCCTGACTATCATGCCTAGATCTTTCTCCTTTATCGCGACTTTGACGATTTGATCTACTTTTAGAAACATCTGGCGAAGAATACCCTTCATCGCCCCGTTGAGATTGCCTTCGCGAAGACACTATCGGATCAGTCTCGGGATACTGGTCCTGATCGGGTTTATTTCGTGACATACTTCTTAGTGATTGTAATCTTGATTGTTTTCCTGGGCTGTCTTCATCGGGTGGTTCTGGGTAATTTTGATATGCTCTTGATTTTTGGCTAGACTCCAACGGACCTCTTTCATCTTCACGACCTCGGCGCGATGGTCTTTCGGAGCTCCCTCTAAAGTCATCACTTCTTTGCCGATTTCTGTTTTCTGGGCCCTCTCTAAGCCCATCGTCATCATATTCGTTCTGTCTTCCCGAAGGGCACATTATCATATTCTCCTTGGGCGATTTACTTAATCTACCTCTGTTATTTGTACAGACCATCCTTTTGGGAGACCGTATTTGTTCGAACGATGGTCGATTGGACACCGCTCTAGACCCAGCTGCAGATGCAACCCTTGAAGTTCGCTTTGATTCAAGTCTTGACGATGCGATTGGCATATCCCTTCTTGTGTCTTCCATGTTGTAACACGTGCCATCAGTGCAAATAAGATCATGGTCGTTTTCGTCATACACCCTGCCACTTCTAAGGGGACAGCTATCATCATCGCAAGACTTTCGAGGGGGTGATGAAGGCACATACATTTCAGATTCTGGCTCTGGGTCTGATAATATTGGCTCCGGTGCCTGTTTGGAAGTGGGTTCATTGTACTCGGGTTGCTCATTTGGAAAGGCATTTGGACAACAGGTGCAAACTCCTTCACCTTGATATGTTGGTTGTGTGCTCATTTGCTGAATAAATGGAAATGTGGCGGGGGCGTTAAAACTGTTATTCCCTGCATATTTGTAGTTTTGATTCTTAGAGTCGTTTGAACTGCGACCAACATCTCGTGAGCTTCTACCACTGCGATAGTCATTCTCCCTGCCATCACTCATTCTATGGTGCAGTTTTTGGCTTCTAGAATCATTATTTCTCTGCCAGTCATCCGTGTCGTAATATGTGTCAGTTCCATGTGAGTGCCTTGATTTGTTTCTATATCTTCCGGTCAAAACCTTTTTTCTAGGCGGACCGCGAGCTCTGGACCCATACGAATCGACATATATATTGTTATCGTCATCAAACGTATTTGTAGTGGCACCCATGTCTGGCCTATATGCAGCTGGACTTTGATTACAGCTACGTCTCTCATTTCCACTGCTGACACTATAGTTGCTGTTGCGGTTTTGTTCTTTCTGATAGGATGACTTCCACTGTCTCCCATCATAATCGTCATCTTCATGGTCATGATATGAATTTGATGCGGATATCCATCGATCGTTACCAGAAGCTACTCGGATTGGAAGCTGATTAGTTCGTATATCATGTGGAGGCAAAGGCAGTTGTAACGATTGCTCTTTGTCTGAGGAGACAAGCGGTTGCAGCACAGAGCTTGTAATGCCATCTTCGTTCGATACGGAAGTGATCTGAAAATCAACTTTTTCGCTGCGGATACTGTTCTCGCTGCTGCTCAGCAGAAATGCATCCTCAACGAGGCAGTTGATTTGTTTGCTGCTGACCTGAGTCTTTGACTGTAATGCAGAAATAATATTATATTTTTGTAAATCCTCTTGGGCGCTTATGCAATTATATAACATACCTCAATGGCTTTAACACTAACACTGTGCTCCATCGCTTCTTTCAAAAACTCCAGATCTGCAAAGTAAGATTGTCGAGGAACATAGTGGTATCCTCCCAGTTTGCTACGTTTAATGGCTAATAGTTCTGTAGCATAGTAATAACGAAGCGATAAAATCTGCAATTTGATCTGATCCACGGTTAGCTTGTTCTTAAAAAATTGTGCTATGCGTAACCAGGCTCTCTCCTTCAACGCCAAATTCTTAAATCCCGATGATTTTGGATTCCAAAGACAATCATTGGCGCGATAAAGACGAATAAGTTTGTATGTGCCATTTATGTCGCTTTTACGCTTTCGATTGGAGCCCATGTTTTTGCCAAATAAGAACTTCGTAAGCTAACCAACCTTTACCAGCAATCTACCATAACATAGTGCCTTCTTAGGCTATGGGTACTGGTCTATTACGTATTGTACAATTTCAAATTAATTTTGTATGCCAAATGTAAAATGTTGTTAACGCTTCAAAAACAAATATATGTATGGGGAAAATAAACGAAAGTTTGGCAATTAATTCAAAATCGAGTGTTGGAAAAGTGCTGAAAACCAACCGATAACGATACTTGCCGAAATACATTCACTTAACGAAACAGCTTTAATAAAAAGTGTGCTTTACTATCTTACTTAGATCATTACTTAATTATGCAGACAGCGTTCATAAGCGTATTATAAATAGTGTTCTTTAAATAACACACAAATATCTACATATATCGAGCACTGTCAACACTTTAGCTGCCAGGCTGTGCAATCTATCGAACACATATCGGTTTTCCGCCACAATCTATCGACCATCTATCCAACAAATATTTTTTTATTCAACGTGATATTGAACCTAAAAAATACAATTTAAGTGGAACAAATTTAAAGGCACAACGCATGAGAGTGCATTTAACAGGCTGCAAAACATTCCGGGCCAATAAACAAGCGAACTTTATTAAAATACGGCCCATTGCAGTAACAGTAGAAGTAGAAATAACAACAACCTTTGCATCCGATTGATTGTGATTGTGACTGGTGTCTGGTATAACCACAAAAATTTTCTCTGCATTTCGAGCCCCAATTTCGCTGGGAGAACGAGCACTTCGAAAAACCGAAGAGCGGCGGGACGGTACAACAAAGTCACAATCAGTGCTTGGTGGCTTCGTCATCGTCGTTTTATTTGTTCGAATGTTAATTTTTGTAATTACATCGAATTTTAACACTGAACATCAAAGTTGAAGTAATACCAACTATAATATAACATTGCGACAATTGTATGCGAGATTAAGCTCCAAGTAAAATAAACTTGGCTGAATAAGCATTAGCTGCTGTTGATATTGCAACAACAACAAGAATTGTACAAAAGTGTGTGGGTGACGGAACTGCATTAAAATGTCTGCGGAACGCGAAATACCCGCTGAGGACAGTATCAAAGTCGTCTGTCGTTTTCGGCCGCTCAATGACAGCGAAGAAAGGGCCGGCTCAAAGTTTGTTGTCAAGTTTCCAAATAATGCGGAGGAGAATTGCATATCCATAGCGGTAATTAAACAATATATATCCAATCAGATTAAACGATGCATGCACACATACATAAGTACACATATACACACATATTTCTGCGTGCCGTTGCGGTTCTGTGGCGGTGACGTCATACCGAACATTGTCTAACATTAGCGCAGTACATTAGCCTTTCCTTACCGCCACAATTACACAAACACACACACACACACACACACACACAAATACATGTAGTACAACTGAGTGAAAGAGAGTAGCAATTATATACATATCTACGTACGTATGTGTGTATTATAACTAATTAGCGATCCAATTTTTGCGCGTGTCTTTAGCAATTTTGGATTTTGTTGCCAAATAACTTTAAAATTGTTACTACACTTGCCACATTGGGGCAAAAACAGAAGTCGTTCAATTGATTTTTCGCGCATAGTGGCAACCTGGCCTTTATGTCGTTGCATGTGTGTGTAACCAGAGCCACCCACTCGTGTTTGCCGGGCATGTTTTTTTTTTATATTTGCATTGCTATTTGACTTGATATGGCAATATATGCACATTCTACCTGTCTACCAATACGCCCAACTTCAGCTTCACCTCTACCAACATAGACCTAGGTATGTACTCTATTTGTGTGTGTGTGTGTGTGTGTGCGTGTATGTTCAGTAAGCTTTGGCCCCAAAACAAAACATCGCCCTCGAATGTTGCTGCTTGCCACCAGCTGCTGCCCGTTAAATGAGTCATGCACGCAAGCCCGCAAAAAAACTGTAAATAATAATGTAGCAAGAACAACATGAATATGCATGTTTTGGTTAAAGATATTTGGATTTTAGTGAATATTATTAATGGCCCAAAAGTTCAGCTGTCTACCATTGTGTCCGCCATGATAAAGTTAGTTGCACACAATATACATATATCTAAATGTTAATAAATATATGTATGTATATGTATGTGTGTGTGTATACCCTTGCTTAGCGAAGCGGCATAAGCAGCTTGTCGAATATTCTCATATATATATACCCTTTTATTGTAGCTTCGATTGTTAGTCAATGACCGATAAAGCTTGTTACATGTGCTGTTAATATTGTCAACCCATCAAATGCCTACAACAAAGTTTCGCTTTATACACATTTAACATTTTATAGCTTTTGTTTATTACTCTGCATTTCCCGGTATATATTTGTTTAGACATGAACTAAGTGGAATCGGGTTACATGCGAAAGTTGGGTGGATTTAAAATGGAATTGCAGTTCTTAATTAACAGCTGTGAATAGTCCGCAAGCAATGCTGGAAATATAAAGCAATGTAAATAGATAGACAGACAACTACAGAATTTTAAAATTCAAAATATCAACTTAAAAGTAAATCAGTTTCTTATATTCTGATAACCATTAGATCTATGTCACTGCTGCTGCTCTCTAAGCTCCTTGGCGGGAGATTCATTTGATCGCAGCTTACAGGGTATTTTGCGGTCGACTACTTCCGGGGCAATACTTACCTATTATTCATATCAGCTCGTACTGTTGCTCTCTTTTAGCTCTTTCTTTTATTACTGCTCGTTATTCATTTATTTCAAGTTCCACTCATTTGCTGTGCTTCTGCCTCTTGATGCTTCTGCTCATCTTATAATTACGAGCCGTTTCGCGGTGATGCGTTGAAAATTATTTGAAAGCTGTTTTGTGGATAGAAAGGAGGGGATTGGGGTTGCTGACACATAGACACATGTTGTGGCCGGCATGAAGACACAAGACAGCAGACGCAAGACACGAAAAATATTTTCACTTTACTACAAAATTAGTCGTTGTTTTTTTATTTTTTAGGGCAAGGTATATCTGTTCGACAAAGTCTTTAAGCCGAATGCGTCGCAGGAGAAGGTGTACAATGAGGCGGCCAAATCGATTGTCACGGACGTGCTGGCTGGCTACAATGGAACGATATTCGCCTATGGTCAGACATCCTCCGGCAAGACGCATACAATGGAGGGCGTCATTGGCGATTCGGTGAAACAGGGTATAATTCCGCGCATTGTGAACGACATTTTCAATCACATTTACGCGATGGAAGAGAATCTAGAGTTTCACATTAAGGTTTCGTACTATGAAATCTATATGGACAAGATCAGAGATTTGCTCGATGTATCCAAGGTGAATTTGAGCGTGCACGAGGACAAGAATCGTGTACCCTTTGTCAAGGGTGCCACGGAGCGTTTTGTCTCCTCGCCCGAGGACGTCTTTGAGGTGATCGAAGAGGGCAAATCCAATCGTCACATTGCCGTGACAAGTAAGTAGAGATAATATGATAATCTAAAGCAAGAGGTAAATTCAATTAATTGAATCTCTCATAGACATGAATGAACATTCATCGCGTTCCCACTCGGTGTTCCTTATTAATGTAAAGCAGGAGAATCTGGAGAATCAAAAAAAGCTTTCCGGCAAGCTGTATCTGGTGGATTTGGCTGGTTCCGAAAAGGTATCGAAAACAGGTGCCGAGGGCACAGTCCTGGATGAGGCAAAGAACATTAACAAGTCGCTATCGGCGCTGGGCAATGTCATTTCGGCGCTGGCGGATGGCAACAAAACGCACATACCGTATCGTGACTCAAAGCTGACGCGTATCCTGCAAGAGTCACTCGGCGGCAACGCACGCACAACGATTGTCATCTGCTGCTCACCGGCCAGCTTTAACGAGTCGGAGACGAAATCTACGCTGGACTTTGGTCGGCGCGCCAAGACAGTGAAGAATGTTGTGTGTGTCAACGAGGAGCTTACCGCCGAGGAGTGGAAGCGTCGCTACGAAAAGGAGAAGGAGAAGAATGCACGGCTCAAGGGCAAGGTGGAGAAGCTGGAGTTAGAGCTGGCGCGTTGGCGTGCCGGTGAAACGGTCAAAGCGGAGGAGCAAATCAACATGGAGGATCTCATGGAGGCCAGCACGCCAAATCTCGAAGTGGAGGCGGCTGCGCAAGCTGCTGGTGCCGCAGCAGCGGCGGCAGCTCAACGCACTGCCATTGCCAACATGTCCGCCTCGGTGGCAGCTGATGAGCGAGCGCGATTGGCCACGGAATGCGAGCGCCTCTATCAGCAGCTGGATGATAAGGATGAGGAAATCAATCAGCAGAGCCAGTTTGCGGAGCAGCTGAAGGAGCAGGTCATGGAGCAGGAGGAACTTATTGCGAATGCGCGACGTGAATACGAGGCGCTGCAATCAGAAATGGCGCGCATACAGCAGGAGAACGAATCGGCCAAGGAGGAGGTCAAGGAGGTGCTGCAGGCTCTCGAGGAGCTGGCCGTTAACTACGACCAGAAGTCGCAGGAGATCGACAACAAGAACAAGGACATCGATGCCCTCAACGAAGAACTGCAGCAGAACAAAACTCAATTCAATTCCACCTCGACGGAGCTGCAGCAGCTGAAGGACATGTCAACGCACCAAAAGAAACGAATCACTGAAATGCTGACTAATCTGCTGCGCGATCTAGGCGAGGTTGGCCAGGCCATAGCGCCCGGCGATTCCGCAATCGATCTCAAGATGAGTGCCCTGGCGGGCACCGACGCCGCCAAAGTGGAGGAGGACTTTACAATGGCACGTCTGTATATCAGCAAAATGAAGACGGAGGCAAAGAACATTGCGCAGCGTTGCGCCAACATGGAGACACAGCAGGTGGACTCCAACAAAAAGATATCCGAGTACGAAAAGGATCTGGGCGAGTATCGTTTGCTCATCTCGCAGCACGAGGCGCGCATGAAGTCGCTGCAGGAGTCGATGCGCGAGGCCGAGAACAAGAAGCGTAATTTGGAGGAGCAGATCGATTCGCTGCGCGAAGAGTGCGCCAAACTGAAGGCAGCCGAGCATGTGTCCGCGGTGAATGCCGAGGAGAAGCAGCGTGCCGAGGAGTTGCGTTCCATGTTCGACTCCCAGATGGATGAGCTGCGCGAGGCGCACACTAAACAGGTGTCGGAGCTACGCGACGAGATTACCGCCAAGCAGCACGAAATGAATGAGATGAAGGATGTGCATCAGAAGCTGTTGCTGGCGCATCAACAGATGACCGTCGACTACGAGAAGCTTAAGCAGGACGAGGCAGACAAATCAAACAAATTGCAGGACATTATACTAACCAACGAGCGTCGCGAACAGGCGCGAAAGGACCTCAAGGGTCTGGAGGACACAGTCGCCAAGGAGCTGCAAACGTTGCACAATCTGCGCAAACTCTTCGTACAGGATCTGCAGGTAGGAATTCATCCCGTATATCATATTTATTCATGCACTCCAACTTTTTTTTGTATTACCTGCCGCACGTAGCAACGCATTCGCAAGAATGTGGTGAACGAGGAGAGCGAAGAAGATGGCGGCTCGCTGGCGCAGAAGCAGAAGATCTCCTTCCTGGAGAACAATCTGGATCAGCTGACCAAGGTGCACAAGCAGTTGGTGCGCGACAACGCCGACCTGCGATGTGAGCTACCAAAGCTGGAGAAGCGTTTGCGCACAACAATGGAGCGCGTCAAGGCGCTGGAAACGGCGCTCAAAGAGGCCAAGGAGGGCGCGATGCGAGATCGCAAGCGTTATCAGTACGAGGTGGATCGCATCAAGGAGGCGGTGCGACAAAAGCATCTGGGCCGACGAGGACCCCAGGCACAAATTGCCAAGCCCATACGGGCTGGCCAGGGTGCTATTGCAATTCGCGGCGGCGGCGGCAGTGGCGGTGCCGCCGGCGGTGCTACAATGGCTCAGGTCAGCGCTGTTAACTCCTAAATCGCCGCCCAGTTCAGTACAGTTTCAGTTTAGCTCCGCTTTAACCTATTTAACCATAAAATAATTGCCTTCGCTTAAAGAATGTCGTTTTGCGATCATGTGCAGCGCTTTATATATAAATATAAATAATTAAATAAATGAGAGGAAAGTAAAAAAGAGGAAATTATTAACTAAATTTTACAACAACAAGAAACCCCACAGATATTTAAGGACACATAAATAAGTTTAAGCATATTTATAAACTTTTCAAATATAAACTTAAATAAAAGTCGCAGACAATTTATGTTAGTCTTGTTCTTTTTTGTTGTTTGGTTTTGTTTTCTGTTACAGTTGTCCAATAAAGATATTGTTCCCCCGTTGTTAATAATCCCCCATTTGTTGTATATTGCCGTTAGTTTAGTTTATAGACGCATATTGTAGCCCATGCCACCCACATTATGGCGCTCGCATTCAGCAGGCTCGCACACTTGCCACTCATACCAGACCTTCTCCGGGTCGACGCAGCGCCAAAACTTGATGGAAATTTTTTCGCCCGCCTTGATAGTACGCGGTTGCTGCAGAGTTTAGAGATATCATTTAGTACAATTAAAACCTGGTTTAGCAGCTCGGACCTACCGTTGGAAAGAACATTGGAAACCAGGAGAACATGCCCTGCGTGTGCGTCAGAGGATTAATGCTTAAAATTATATTCTTATACAGCACAGTATCAAAGTAACCGCCAATGCCGTGTAGCACACAGTCCTTCTGAGCTGTAAAGGACAGCTGTTTGTGACGCGTATTATCAATATCTTTAGCCCGATTCGGATGCGTAAATTCAAACAGCGCCTGAGGCTGATCAATGTGGTAAATGTTCTTGAGCAGCACCACGTAGCCACAGTTGAACGCAGGCACAGTGGAAGTCAGCTGGCAGACATTATTATGCAGAACAGCTGACATAAGTGGATTAATATACGATGTCGATTTACAGGGTATGCTTATGCCGTTTGACTTGAGCAGTTTCAAGGCGCCGTCGAGACACTCGGGCGACAGCTCGTTGTCGCCAAAGGAGCCGAGCAACTCGGAGACAAGCACGTCCGCCAATTCAGGAGGCGAGAAGTCACGCATGTCCTTGGAGAATATGTGAACATCTGCAATAGCAAATTAGCTGAGTGTATGATATGAGGGTTATTGAGCGCAATCTACACCTTTTTTCGACCAAAGGGTCTTGACCATATTGGAAAGTGTACGTATGGCACTGGGATTCTTTTCAATGATATAGACGCGCACTTTGCGTTTTGTAATCTCTGCAGCATTAAATACGGCACGCGCCAAAGGACCACGTCCACCGCCCAAGACCATGATGACCGTCTGCAAGAGGAAAGCATATTCATATAAAGGTTAATCTATTTTTGGTATATGTTAATTCCTTTTCTTACCAGCTTTCGCTTGGCCTCATCGTCGCTAACACGATCCTGCAGCACCTGCTGTATGGCCTCCTGGTAAAGCTTATACTTGACGGGATCTGTCTCAAAAATTTCATAGGTGTACGTATCCAGATTATCACACAGTGGCTGCAACGGTATCTCCAACATGTTCTCATAGCTTAAATAAATAAATATTAAAGTACATTCAGAAGCAGTCGATGAAATGGCACCCACTTGTTGAGGGTGTGCGTGTCGCAATGATCGTTGATCAGCTTCTTGACATATTCCGCATACTGGGAAATAGCATTATCATTGGCATTTGTGGAGACTATAATGTTGGCGCGCACGGAGATGAAGTGGCCCACAATGGCCTGCCACTCCTTGTGCAGCACATAGTAATTGGAGCGGTTCAGCACAAATAAGCTGGATGGAATAATAATGGCCTCGATGGGTTCGCCAAGCCAACGGCGCACGGTCTCACGGCTGGGACGATCCGAGTCGCTAAGCTCGAGCACAACTTTCACCTTGCCGTTGTGCTTAACGGCAAAGCGCAGTTCGTTCCACCAGCTCCAGGGATCAACCTGTTGGGCCTCTTCAATGTCTTTTTCAGTTGCATCCTTGCGGTGCTCAAAGGTGGCCACTTCGGGATTAGTAATGGGCACATGTATAAACCAGTTGCCTAAAACAACAAAACATTTAATTCATGTTATATATCATATAATTGATAGCGTGACACAAACCTTTCGTCCTCGTCTTGATTATTTCGGCCAAATTGTCATTTTTTGGCCCTCTTAGACGTACCATTAAGCTGCCATTATTCTGCAAGTGCTCTGCCCAGGTGATGTCGCGCAGCAGCATAGCTTTCGAATACTCACGTAGCTTGGCATTGGGTGAATCCACATCCACGTCGGACACTGTGAAAATCACTTTGGAGTTCCAATCAACGGCATTTAGCACGGTTGCCGGATAGGTTGGATCCGTTTCAAATGGATCCATGGGCAGCATATTTGCATTAATCGATGTGGCGACCACATTGTAGTTATTCGCATGGGCTTTTTGTATTAATTTCGATATGCTGCTAATGCCTTCCTGATGTAGACAAACGTAGTAATTCATTTTAATCAATCAAAAAGCGTGTGCCGGCTTCGGTGTGCACACATCGAAAAGAAAGGTAAATAAGCAAGGTATCGATACCAACGATTGTCGCGCTCTGTTACAGTGTGTACACACTTATAAATTCTTAACGTAATTGATAGTCGTATCGTGTGTGTGGTCGTTAGTTAGCAATGGCCATTTTAGTTTCGTCGGCTTTTATTTATTTATAATAGTATGTAATTATTGTTGTACATGGCTAATCGCGATGTTTTCTCCAAGATCTTGCCCAATGTTAAGTTGGCAACGCGCTACGATGCAGAAGGGCGCGAAATCCAGGTGGGTTGCCTTAATTTGTGCATGTAAACAAAAGCTATAAATTGAGTTTGGTTTTGTGCAGGTGGAACGCCGTGAGGACACGGATGCTGCCGCCAAGGAGCTGGACACATTTGATATGCTCGTAGCTGCCGGCTACTATCGAGCACGTATCAAGGGCCTATCTGCCTTCGACAAAGTTGTGGGCGGCATGACCTGGTGCATTGAATGCTGCGACTATGATGTGGATGTCGACTTGCTCTTCCATGAGAACTTAACAATTGGCCAAAAGATGTAAACGCAAATATATCCTATACGTGAGCATATTGTAAATAATTGAATTCCGTTTTCAGAGCGCTTGTAGAGAAAATTGTTGCTGTTCTGATAGACATGAAATGTCCCCATAGCTTGGAACCGCATCAAGTGCAGGGCCTGGAGTTTCTGGCCATACATCCCGTTATCCAGTGGCTTGTTAAGACCTCAGTAAGTTCCGATTCTCTAAAGAGTTTGCCCATCTCAAATTATCAAATTAATACACATATTTGCAGGTTGAAAATCGAGAAGAACGCGGGCAACGCTTGAAGAGATTTGCCATTGGTCAGTTTCACCATGACTATCAGTATAAAAGCGACAAGGATAATCTCACAAAAATACGCTACGCCGCTGTAAACATTAAAGCTATTCAGGTAAGTCAGGTTTTCTTTAACTTACACATAAGCAAAAGGTTATAAATTTGTTAAATCCTTTGCAGGAGCTGTACAGTCCCAAAAGACAGTTTGAGCGCCAGGACGCTAGTTGCGACGATGATGCTTTACGCGTGCGTTTAACGTTATTAGAATACGGCGATGCGGGCCCAGCGGCTAGGCAAAGCATGGAGCAGCAGTTGGGATCTAACACAGCGGAAATTGAGGTGAGTTTACCGTAGGTAATTTATATGTTAAAGTTATTGTAATCTTACAATTCAACTGCAGCCTGATCTGGAGAGGAAGCTGCAGCAGCTCACTGTTACAAAGGAGCCCTCACCGGCGCCGCTAAAGCGTATCGATTTGGATCCCGTCGCTCGCAGTGCTCTGCAGCAGCATTATGCTGAATTCAAGCTGGAAATGGAAACGGATGCACAGGAGCTGAAGTCGCAAAATCAACAGAAACGCTTGGAGGCAGCTAAGATAGCGCTGGAGCACAAGATAAAACGTTACGGCAAAGAAAACGAGCAACTGGCAGTGTCTTTTGAGGCGCAAAAACAACAAACCGAACAACAAGAGCAAAAGCTACAAACGCTCAAAGCAGAGCTGGACTCGTACAAGCAAACAGAGGCGAATGCAGAGCCTGCGTAAGTGTTTGGTTAACTGTGGTGCTATCAAAGTTTAATTATATGGCTTTCAGTTTGTTGGAAAAGGTGCGGGGACTTCTGCAGCAGCACGACGAGCTGAAAAAGAGCGAGGCGGAATTTAAGGAAAGTTGCCGCACGGATCTGGCCAATTTGCAGCAGCAAATCGAGTAAGAATGTTTCAGCTCTAATTGGCATGATTAATTTAACAATATTTACTTGAAGCGAACTGGAGACGTTTAATGCACAAGATGCGGAGGCACAGGCCGCTGCCATAGCAAACGAGCAGCAGCGTTTGCAGGAGCTGCGTTTGCATCTCGCAAAGCGCAATCGCGGCATTGTAGCCATTGAGCGCAAACTGGACGCAATACCCGATCGCACAGAGCTGGCCCAGTACCAGCGACGCTTCCACGAGCTGTACAACGAGATGAGTGCCAAACATCTAGAAACTAAGCAATATTATACACTCTACAATACACTTAACGACAAGAAACGCTACCTGGAGAAGGAGCTGTCGCTGCTCAACTCCATTTGCGAGGCCTACAACGAGGGCATGCTCAGTCCGCACGGACGCGAGGATTTCATAAAACAATTCGAGACCATTGTGGACGGTGTGAAGAGTGCCCAGGACAAGGTGCGCCACAAATACAACGAGGAGCGCATGCGCCGGGATGAGCTGAACGAAGAGCTGCTCAGTCTGCTCGAGCTACAGCGACAGTATGCGGCCGCTGTCAAGCAGCTCACCCGGGAGTGCCAACGTTGCGATCAGCTTCAACAGCATCTGAAGTCAATTAAAAAGTAACCGAACAAAACGCATACGCTATTCCAATCATAATATAGTACATTCAAATTATGTTTAATCAACGCCGAGATATAACTCATTAAGTTGCGGCAATTTTTATTTGGAGCATTGAAGTTATATATGATATACATATATTATACAATATTCTCAATTATCCACTGCCACGGTCTAAAGCCTATGCACGAATTATTCTTCATAACTGTTTCCATGCGCCAATATTAGCCCATTTTTAGTGTGTTTTGTAAAAGTTTCAATAATTATAGTGTGTTGCTTTGCCCGACTGTAATTTATAGCTACTAATTAAAGAAATATTAATATTTCGCGCAGTGCTTGCCTGTGAAACCCAAAA